AGTGACTGCTTATAGATACAGGGTTTCTTTTTGGGGTGATGAAATTAGTGGTGATTATTGCACAACCTTGTGAATATATTATAAACCACCCAACTGTACACATTAAAGGGGTAAATTTTATGGTAAGTGAATTATATCCATAAAAAAAGAATAGTTAGCAATACACTGGATATGGCTGGGAACAGGATGGGGGTGGTGAGGATGTAGGTGATTAGCAAAAGAGAAAAAGTCACAAAGCTTTCAACTTGGCCTGGGGATGGTCTAGAACAGGGTTTGGAGGAAAAAAACCACTATTATGGAGATGCTGAGATTCAGGTGCTGACATGGCACTCAATTGCAGATATACAGTATAACATTAGTAATAATGGCCTAGAGATCAGAACACATATAACATCTTGATACAACTGAGATATGAAATTATGAAATTTTTGAGAATATAAAGAAGAGAAACAACAGCAAATTCCTAAACAGACCTTACTCTTGGCAATAGTAAGAATAGGTAGAGACAGAAAAAGAGATAGAAACAAAGAAGAAGAAAAAAACAACAACAAAGAGTCACAGGGACACAGAAAAACAAGTTTTCAGAAGGTAGGGGTGGTAATCCACAGCAACTGCTGAGCAGAAGTAGAGAATGAAGGCTGAGATAAAACGTTAGGGTTTGGGGTAGACGTCATAATTAATCATTTGCTCACTGTTTCTCCACTGTAGTGAGCTGATGTTCTGATAAACATATTCTGGCTCGCTATTTAAATTATGATCGAAGGGTTCTTCCATTAGAATCAATCAGGAAGCATCAAGAGATAGAGCTCATCAATCTACATCTCTCAGCAAAATTACTCAATAAAGGTTTGTACTCTACTTTGTAATTTGACACCCGATTTACTAAAATTTACAGTGGTAACGTATTTCTGGGATATAACCCTGAAATTATAGATCAAGATAATTTATTCTTATTCTGTCCTTAAGAGGTCATTTTCTTCTCTGTAATTAATTATGGGGTTTCATTCTGCACATCTCCTCTCTTTGTGTTAACTAAATACTAATATTAAACAAAAGTGTAAAGTTCTTTCAAGTCATGTCAGACAAAGAATTTAATTCTGACATAACTAGAGAAGAAAAAAGATAAAGGAAAGATTCAGTTTTAACCTATCTA